GGTGTCTTTGTGACCTTGAAGAAAGTCACCCTGTCTCTGGGTCCTGCGGTTCCCTTTTGGCAAGATAGGACTAAGGATGCCCATGAGGAGGATTCCTTGGGAGGTGACACTAAGCCGTGGAAGCTGGGACAGTACAGGAAGGATGCTTTACAGACACACAGCAGGTCCGCACATCAGGAGCACAAGGAATATGTCTGTCCCGGCATGGCCAGAGTGACCCCGTGGCATCTGCAGACTTTACCACAGTAGAGGCCCCACATCCATGTCCCCCTTCATGATAAGCACCCCATGAAACTTACCTGTCAGCTGCAAACCAATTTCAAGCGCCCATCCCCAGCTTACTGAGCCCATCCCCAGGAGGGGTCTAGAGTTTGCCAGATCTCTGGCTTGCCCACCAGTCATCTTTCTTCAAACAGCCGCCCCTCCCCCTCGCAGCTCCTTGGAGCACCCCAGCTGTTCCCTGATGCCTGTATCAACCCCAGCACATTTGACAGAATTCATTCCCATCTTAATTCTGATTCCAGGAAGATCGTATTTTCAGGTCTAAAAAAGATGAGTTTAGAACACCCTTTCATAAAACACAGAGAAAAGAGAGATTTAGAAGATTGCTCCTCTGGCCATGACTTCCAATGGACCCTGCCGATTTTCTGCCTTATAGAAGAAGTCTTTATGGTGGCATGTCACAAAAATTCAGAGAATAAGCTATCTTTAGATCAACAGCTAGTCCCTACTATGGGAAACAGGACCCTGTCAGGGGGAGGCAGACTATTGTCAAGAAGAACACATGCTTTGCAGGCTATGGTGGTACATGCCTATAATCCCAGCACTGGGAGGGGAGGGGGCGGGAGGCAGGAGGAACATGAGTTCAGGTCAAGCCTGGGCTACCTAGTGACAACCCTCTCACACAGAGATGCTCTGATGTCACTTGAGCCCAATGCCACGACCAGGCTTTGTCACTCGACAGCGTCTTCTTCACCGTAGCATGCATCTCCTTTACCTTTGTATGTCCCCACCGATCCCTTATAACACGGAATTGTAATGTGGCCCAGACAGATGACATCACGTGTTTGAGAAGGAATGCCCTTGGAATAATGGGTAGCGAAGAGGTGACGGTTCTGGTGGGATTAGCAGGGGCTCCACTGAACACATGGGGAAACTGAGGCTCTGGAAGAGAACGTGTCTCACTCAGCATCAGCCCGATCAAAGTAACAGACCCGGGGCCTCCTGCTGATAGCCCCACAGGTGGCCATCCCTAGAGGCCCGCATGCTTGCCCTCCTCCTCACACCCTTCATCTGCCAGCGTGGTCCATCACAGATGTCACAAAGGCATCTTTTCAAAGTCCTTGTCTGCATACCTCACACCATCGGTGGGACGGTTCCAACACCTGCTGAAGGAGAGATACGCAGGGAAGAGACGACGCCATCAGAGGCTCCAAAGGCCAATGACACACCCAAGTAGTGCTGGAACAGGTAACCAAAGTGAACTGTCCCTGAGGCGTGTCTCCTGCAACCAGGCGGGGTCATGGAGTAGCTGGCCCCAAGAAGGCTTTGCGCGGTGCTTGCGTTCGTCACGTTTGTTGATTGACTTTCTATGATGCTTTCCAGCTTTGTAGAGGGAACACTTTCTTCACTGTGAAGTCCTGAGGAAGTCAAGTCCCCTGGGTAAAAAGACCCAGTGTCAATATTAATATGGGATACAAAGTCACAAGGTATGAAGGACTCTGATCGAACATATCAGATCTAACGGAAGAGGCGGTCTGTATAAAGATTCATAAAAGAACAGAACACAGAAGAGGGTTATAGATAGCCTAGAACCATGGTTCTGGAACGTTCCAAAAAGATTCATGTGTTTCAACTCTGTTTGACACTACTAGGAGGCCTGACAGCCTTTAAGGGGCAAGGACTCCCTAGGAGGACTTGGGAGGGGTGCCCCTTAAGAAGACTGAGAGACCCAGGTATCTCCCTCACTTAGCCATCATGGGCTCGACCATAATGTACCATCCGCCTCCCCATGGCCTCAAAGCCATGGTCAAGTCTGTCACAACCTCATCACGTGAGACAGAATAAACCTTTTCTCTTTATAAGTTGACCTCGTAGGATATCTGTCATAGTGATAGAAAACTGACTACCACAACGGCTTTTGGTGAAGATTTTCAGAGGAAGTGACAGAGAAATACCCCAGTTGTACTGCAAAGCCTCGGGGAAATACCAGGAACACTGGCTCAGGGTCTAAGGATGAGGACCCTCTATAGTCTAAGGCGACCCACTTAAATCAAAGCAAGAACCAGCCCTCCGGTCCAAAAGGCAACTTACGCCTTTTCAACCCAGCCTTAGCTAGGACCCAGTTACTAAACAACCCCCAAAACCATCTCCTCTGAGCCATCATTTTTCCAATCCCTATGGGGAGCACGTTGTTAAAAACTACATTTCCCAGAATCCCTAGGTTCAAACAATTGAAAGTTCCAGCAGGAAATCAGAGAGTGGGAAGAAGGGAGGGCCCAAGGGTTCCCCTGTTTGTCTCTCAGAAGAACTGAACTTGCCTTCCTGTGCCAGGCAGGCCAACCCCAGGGCTTCTCAGGCCCCCTTCCCTTTGTCCGGCCTGATGGCTGGCCAAGGTACATCCAGGGTTTCCTTTTGCCGCCCCTGCTTGGCTCTCCGGGTCTTCCAACAGTTCTATAACTGCTCTGGGCTGCTCCACTCTTTCTACAGAACTACGTGCTGGCTCCCCATCTGGAACCTGCATACAACGGCTCACCCACGTCATCCCACGGCTCACCCACGTCATCCCAGGCCCTTAGACAACTCAATTGAAATCAGTATTAAACATTTATATCTTCGTGCATCGAGAGAATTAGTCAAAAATTGCCCTACAAACATGAAAGACGCCATTATTTAATTAGAATTAATATATGTAAATTACAGAAAATTAGGAAAAGGAACAACCCGAGTCAGAATGATTGTTTAATTAACTTATAATTCCGACACCCTGATACGACATCTCTATTGTTGATCTATTGTGTTTACTTCTATATTACCCTATCATGGCATGGATTCTTCACCATCATTTTTTTTTAAGTTGTCTAGACGAGATGATAGAAAATTGTGAGAAATTTCTACACTGTATACAATCTAATTTCCTTACACATAAGCTGCATTTCCACGTGAAATTATATTCCGCTGCCACTCCTCCACGCAAATAAACGTCTACAGCAACACAAAAACATTAGCCACAGAACGGAGCCATCTTCACCGTCTGGGCCAACCGAGGCTCAGCCCCACAATGACGGTTTGCTAGGGAATCGGGGGTTTGGCAGAATGAGTCACACTGCTGTGGTAGACATCTGTGTGGGGAAGCTACCTGGCCTCTTTGGATGGCAGTGGGATTGCTGGGGTGGGGAGAAGGCAGCTATGCTCTACGGTGGGGACAACGGAGGAATACAGTGTGGGGCCACGCCACCACTGTACAAACATCATAGAACACGCTCATATAAACCTAGGTGGTCCAGCCTGTCGCCTACCTGTGACTAAATCCATCACGAAAAAAAAGCGACACAATCAAGACCACTCAAGGCTGCCGCCAGCAACAACCTGCTGCCTGGCTTAGAGTGAAGGCATGTGTGTGTGTGTGTGTGTGTCCATAATGAATTGCACTCTCAAAATCATAAAAACGCAGAACAGCAAACCCTTAAGCCAATAACACAGAGGGCTGTCACCACAAGCAAGCGCCCCATGCTCCACGTAACTGCATCCGCCGAAGTCTTTAATCTTATTTCCGTTTTTTTTGTGTCCGCGTGATAAACAGCACATGGTGTGCATGTGCGTATACCTGTTTGCACGTGTGTGGTCACCTGTGTATTGGGAGCACACACACATGGGTATGTGTGGATGTGCTGGAGCCTGCTCAAGGCTGGGGGAAGGGCACACTATATACACAAATAAATACTATACACATCACATACATACACATACCACACAGTCACACACACACATAAGACACAAGCATACATACATACA